TAACTGAATGATTATTTATGAATTTAATAGTATAAACTTTGATGTTTATACTAAATAATTATCTAGGTTCGAAAACTAAACACTTGTAGCAAATTATTGATACAATGTTATATGTAAAAGAAATCATTAATAAAAATTTGTATATGAATTGACATAAATTTGTAAGAGATATATATTATGTAAGTTAAAAATGTAAAGTAAAGTTAAGAAATATGTTTGATCTTCTTTTTTCTTGCATCAAACACATTCGTAAAAAGAAATTATTGATCCGGCAAGTTGTAGTACGCTTGGCGTCTCTACCAAAACATATGCATCATCTCAACAGAGATTTTGGAACTTATCTCTATGTTTATTTCATTAGAATTTTGAATCGTAAAAAGAGAATAATTATTGCTTGATTGTATTGTTATCTCTCTTTTGATCATTTTGATGTGATTTTTATTTTTCACATCAACTCATTAGTGAATTGTATTATGTTTTTCTCGTCATGATTACAGTAGGTTGTTAGGTATTATGTTTTTATGGATTGCACTAATTGTTTTTTTTATGTGTTATTAAGTTTTTTTGGTATAGTATATTGTTGGGTTTTAATTTAATAATTGCACAATTTTTTGTTTATGTGCTATTAAGTTTTGTTGGTGTAGTATAATAAATAAAATATATATTTTCTAAACCGTTTAATATTTTACAATAACACATTAAATTTAGAATCATATTTTTTATNGGTACCAAAAAAAGAAAGAAAACAATGCCTAATATATATTACAACTCATTGGAATTAATTAAAATTAAAATTATTTATTAAATTATTGGAATTGTTTGTCAAAGTTATTAGAAATAGAAAAATATATATAAATTATTATTTTTTTCTTAATTAAATAAATTAAAAAAATATATATGTCAAAAGAGTAGGAGACACATGCAACCTCTCATAACTTTGGTTTGAAAAAACTTTACTATATCTTATATTAGATTAGATAGTAAGGTTTCTCAAAATTCAAACCATGAGAGGCTGCCAAGTGTCATATTTTTTTGACATTTGTCCTTTTAATTTATTTATTGAAAAAAAGTAAAAATTATGGATCATTTAATAACTTTAGCTATAAATATTAACAAGTTATAATTAAATATTTTGTGTACATTTATGTAGTTATTATGTAAATTACAATATAATTTTTATGTATAGAAAATAGGTATTTTATCAAATCTAATAGTATTCTATACAAAAATTAATTTTATTTTTTGCCTTTTATATAGGTAATTGTGATTTTAAAATAAAAAAATCACAAAAAAACTTTAATAAAAAAAAACCATAACATGAACAAAAAAGAAAGATGATGTGAGAAAATTGAATGATTTTAGGACTTTTAGGGCTACTAAACCCAACAAGTTTGATTGAAGAAATTTAAAATTTAAACGTTTTTAAAATGTTTTTATAGTTTTTAAAGCCAATTTACCAATCACCCTCTAATGCAATTGAAACAATTTGTGTTGGACAAATTAACGTTCCTAACTTAGACTCTTGAAAGAAAACTTTACTCCACCACAAATTGTAAATCCAGAAAAACAGAATCACTTCACTAATGAATTGATGTAAAAGATAAAAATCACAGCGAAACGATAAATAGAGTGAGACAAAAATACAATCAAGCATCAATTATTATCTCCTTAAGATTCAAGGTTTTAATGAAATAAACAAAAAGATGCATACCAACACCTCTGTTGAGATGATGTAGATGTCTCGGTAGAATCAAAGCATACAATAACTTGTCTGATCAATAGATTTTTACAGACATATTTGATGCAAAAAAACATACGGCCAATCATTTTTTAGAAAACCGAAGTGAATATTGATTCAAACATACAAGTTAAAGATTTGTGCCAAATCAATGTCTTCCATATGTTGTAATTTTTATTAATGAACGGTCTATTTCTTTTATATATAACATTGTATATGTCCAACAATTTGTTACGAATGCTTAGATTTCTAACATAGATAATTATTTACTATAAACACTAAATTTATATAATATTAAGTACACAAGTAATCAATAACTAGATATTATTAATGTTAATTTTTAAATTCCACACAACGCGTAGACAATCTAGTGATTTGAGATTTGCTATAAAGTTTATAAGCCCAAGAGCTTATTAATCTTGATACCAAATTAATCAAATATGTGATAATCATATGATTAAAAAAACACAAAATATCTTCTCAACTTTGACTTTCAAAACCGTTGGCATTAATACAATTGTCATTAATTTGATGATTCGACACTAGAGAATATCTCCAACCCATTACTCTATTTTTCACTATAAAATAAAATAACTGCATTTTGGAGTAGAAATTTTCTCCAATCCATTACTCCATTTTTTTACTCTAAAAAGAATATTAGAATCTAGTGCTAAGTATATTCTTTTTTAATTTAATTATTGGTTTTTAATAGTATCCTTAATTTATCAAAACTACATATTTTCCCCAATTTATTTTAGATCATTTGTTTATATTGTTGTTGAAACAACCCACCTCGTTTTTTTTTATTAACATTGGATTCGAATTAGCATTTCCATAAATGCTAACTCTCAACAATCCAATCAATTCAATCGCATTAAGACAACGGAACAAAAGCAGTTAAAACAATAAACCAATCATTTCAATGTCCAATCAATTCCACACTAAACCATTCCAATTTAACGACAATCCAACAACCTAGTCATTGTAACACAATAGCTAGC